AACCCAGCCACCTTGCTCCCTAATGAGACATCAGAAGCCTTAGAACATGACTGCTTACAAGTTATGGAGACAGTGTATTCTAGCCGACCTGATTTGTTGGACTGTCCACTGGAAACACCGGACTTGGAACTCTTCACAGATGGCAATAGCTTCATAGATCAAGATAAGAGACGCGTGGGATACGTGGTCATAACTTTACAAGAGACTTTAGAGGCTAAAGCGCTACCCACAGGGACATCAGCTCAAAAGGCAGAAATCATCGCCCTCACTTGGGCTCTACATCTAACTCAAGGGAAAAGAGTAAATATATACACATATTCTTGTTATGCCTTTGCTATAGTTCATGCTCACGGGACAATCTGGAGGAAAGAAGACTCTTAACAGCAGGAAAAAAGAAGGTCACACATGGCCCTAAAGTTTTAAAACTGCTTAGTACTGTTACCGAGCTTGCTCAGGTAGCTATTATAAATTGCCCTGGCCACCAGAGGGAGAATCAATGTGTCCTTGAAGATGTTTTTTTGAGACATTAGTCTACCATCTTCCTGGTTATGCCAGCTAATTGAATTAAAACTTCGTTTCTCAATCCCTAGCTCATTGTGATTAACTGGCTCTGGTCGCAGCGAGCAGAGCGAGCCCAGTGCTTGGTAACAGAGGTGGCAGTGCAGCGGGGGACATGGTTCTCCCTCGGAGGAAGTGCATCCAGGCCTTGGGCTGACGCCTGAGGCCAAGGCCGGAGGGAGGCGTGCTGTGCGGCAGAAGGGCGGAGATCTCTGGGTGCTGGAGATTTTATCTTGTGAATAAACACTCATTTGGAAACGTGGCCTGAGCCACGGAACTTCCCACCAGTGGGGGACAAGCCCCTCCAGAGGGCCACCTGGAGCTGAATGCAGCCTCAGGAGAGGGCATTTCCAGCCCCAACAGTAATCCAGCCTTGAAGCTGGGTTCCTGAGGGTCACTGTAAATATTCAATAGGCATATGATTACTCTTTGACCTTGTTCCCAACACAGACACAGAGGAAAAGAAGTTCATCTTGTTACTTTGCTGTTTTCTTGTTTAACCTGAGGGGTGACTTAAGGGTCACAAGGATTTATGAGCTTGTTTTGCTGAAGAAAAAGAATGCCTTCAAGGAAGTTATGACCACCAGAACACCAGCCCTCAGCTGCCTTTGACACCAAATTGCCCAAGGGCTTATCTGGAGTGAAAGAAACACAGATCTCCCCTTTGTTTCTCTGAAACTCCTCCTCCCAAGCCCCTTAGCTCTATAAAGCCCCCTGCTTTCTTCTTTAGTTAAGGTGGAGTTGAGAGAACCTATCTTTCTACCTTCTTGTTTTGGCCAATTCAAATAATAAAACTTTCTCCATCTCCAAGCACCAGTGTCTCAGTGATTGGCTTATTGGGCATTGCACACACGAATTTGAGATTAAGAGGTTCGATATCAGCCTCAGGAGATACAACCCTGGGAGTCACCACCGAGCTCGGCCCGGGTATGGGACACTGACAGGCTCTACTGTTCAGCATCCCCTGGGGGTCCCCATACATCCATGACTTTCCAGAAAATGTGTGCTCACACAGCTCAAGTGCATGCACATGCATTCAAACACAATCTCACTGCAGCAATGGCCATGCTCCGTCTTGTCCAGCTGCTTCTGTCCCAGGCTCTGAGCTTGGTGAGTGCTGAGGGCAGGTGTCGGCTCACACAGCGTCCAGCCCAGACGGATGATGTGGCAGGCAGATATCAACCTGAGGTCCAGTGCTGTTAAACAGAAGACATTGCTGGGCATCTGGGCAGTTCCTTAAAGCAGCGCCATAGGACATGGGGAAGCAGGAGTCAGTCAGTCTCAGGCTCCTCCCCTCCTACAGGACACAGTGTGTAAAGGAAAACTTTTTTTTTTAAATAATTTTATTTATTTATTCTTTCCCCCAAAGCCCCAGTAGATAGTTGTATGCCATAGCTGCACATCTTTCCAGTCGCTGTACGTGGGACACGGCCTCAGCATGGCCAGAGAAGCGGCGGGTCAGTGCGTGCCCTGGGTCCGAACCCAGGCCGCCAGCAGCGGAGCGCGCGCACTTAACCGCTAAGCCACAGGGCCGGCCCGAAAACTTCTTTTTCTGTATTCACAACACTCTGACACCAAATGTGTGGGTTTTCCTCACCAAGCAATTCTCCAGTTTACTGCAAACATCACCTGGGTGTCCTACGATTCAACTCAATTCTGACACTATCTACCCAGAGTTAGCGCAGACCCCACAAGCTGAGAGCTCAGGCCCACAAGACCACCCCCACTTCAGACAATAGTCACAATTCCAGGTTGTCACCTGCGCTTCTGATCGACTGGCTATAAATAGGAGTTCCCATGACCCCCTCCTCGGGATCCATAATTTGCTAGAATGGCTCACAGAATTCAGGGAGACACTTTACATAACTGTTTACTGTTTATCATAAAGGATAGGACTGGGGAACAGCAGGTGGAGGAGACGCACGGGGAAGGAGTGGGGAGGGGCGCGGAGCTTCCATGCTGCCCAGGAGCGCGGTCCCCCAGCACCTCCCACGGTCACCACCCCAGGAGCTCTCCAGACCCTCCCATTCTGGGTTTTTATGGAGATTCCCTTATGATTGACAAAGTCGTTGGCCATTGGTGATTAGCTCAGTCTCCAGCTTCTCCCCACCCCAGAGGTCAGAGGTTGGGGCTGGGGCTGAAAGTTCCAACCCTCAAATCACATGGTCCCTTCCCCTGGTTACCAGCCCCCTCCTCCCAGAGTCACCTGTTAGTGTAAACTCCCATCAGGCTGAAATGGTCTTGTTAGGAATAACAACAGGCGATCTTCTCACATCACTCAGGAAATTCCCAGGAATTTTAGGAGCTCTGTGCCAGGAACCAGGATGAAGACCAAATAAATACTTCTTATATGACAATATCACAGGGTGGCCCTGCCCAGGAATCCCATGTGAAGCCACGGGGGTACCTCTTGGGCGGGCAAGGAGGGGTGAGGGACCTAGGGAGTGAGACCTCAGGTGTCCACTAGTCATCGCAGGTGGGGGTCAAGGGCAGGGATGTGCATCGAGGGACACCTCTTCTCCACCCCAAAACACAGAAAATGTTCAGCCGACAAACCAGGAGGAGGTGAGGCAGGGAAGGAAAGCTCGGGCTGTGAGATGGGAAGGCCTGCTGAAGGAAGAGGGTGGTCACAAGGCAGAACGCCAAGGGGGCTGCCTAGAGGCGAGCAGGCCAGCCCACTGAGTGGAACTTTTCCGGGGTGCTGTCCAGACCAGCCAACCCTTCACCAATTCTGGGCCCTAAGCTGCAAGGCTACCCTCCCAGCCTGCCCACTGCCCACACCCACACCCCGGGGCCCTGGTCCCACCCTGCACACCCCATGGACGGCAATCCCAGGCTAAAGTCCGTGTCAGGGCCATCCTCTGAGCCCTGGCCAGAGAAACGTCAGGTATAGGGGTCTCACTTGTGAAAAATTGCGCAGCAAATGAGATAAGCTAGTCCTGCCTGAGGAACAGGGCCCCTAGGACACGTGGGCAAGCTAACAGCTGGGGAAGTACCGTGGTCAACAAATGGGCCTCCGACTTGATTCACGGGTCACAGACCCCTCATAACATCCGTGGACTCCGGGCTGACGCTGGCCATCTCAGTGTCACAGAGAAGCCCTGAGCATCACAGGGCCTCTTTGTGAGGCCGCCCCAGTCCCCGACGGTGGGTACCGCCCCGCCCACCCACAGCCCTGCGCACACAGCGGCCCCGCCCCCTCAGCCCCGCCCCTAAGGAGCACTGCCAGGGCCCCGCCCCCATCGGCTCGAGAATGCCCACGGTTGCCATCGTTTCCATGGCGCAGGCCGGAATCCAGGTCGTCCTCAAACCTGCGTCCCTCATCCCCAGTCCTTTCCCGCGAGCGCTGGGCGCCCAAGAGATCCGCGAGACCCCACTGTCGTGGGCCCCACCAAGCTGGCGCTCCTTCCCTGGCTGGCAGCGGCGCAGCGCATGCGCCGTTATGTCGCTACGGTCGGGATGGTTGCATCACGATCTCCTAAGTCTCGCAGGCAGACCACAGCGCTAACAGCGCCGCTGGTGTAGTGGTATCATGCAAGATTCCCATTCTTGCGACCCGGGTTCGATTCCCGGGCGGCGCAGGTCCTTTTAGCTCTTCTCCGTCTCAAAAAAGTTAACTTTTACTGACCGTAGAGATTTCAAAAAGAAAAACAGAAACAAGGGAGAAGCATACATTCCAGTGCAGCATGTCGACTTTGAAAATAAAACAGCCAGTTATTTTACCAGCAAAATAAGTTTATTCGGGAAAAACCAAAGAATTGCAATTCAGGACCTGCATGCTATGGTGGACCACAGGCAAGTCCAACAAAGGAGAGGAACATTATTTTATAGGAGGAAAGTAGGAAGGGTTGTTTTGAACAAAAATCCATCAGAGGAAAGCAAGAGTTCAGGGTGGTGATGGTTTCTCACTGGCTGAGCTGTTGGGGTCGTGGATTTCTCTTTGGGATACAATGTACATTTCTTCCTGTAATTTACAATTTTTTCCTATTGACGACGTCTGTTGGGGTCTGTAATTGACGGAGAGTGGAACTGCATGGGAGATCCCCCTTCTAGCCTCCTGACCCCACTTTAAATGAAGTTTCCCCTTATTAATTTTCACAAGCGCGAATGAGACAATTTCAGAGAGTGACAAGCACTATGAAAACATTAGGACGGCCGGCGACCAGGTGCTGAGCTGAGGGGTACCTGTAAACCAGCAACTCAAGCTCGCCGCCGGGTCCTGGTCCTGCCGGCTCACGGCCCTTTAACACGGGGAGCGCGTCCTTCTGGGAATTGTAGTCCGTTGGGGCGGCAGCACGGCTTCCGGACCACAGCTCCCGGTGGGCCTCGCGGCGCAAGACTACAGCTCCCGGTGGGCCTCGCGGCGCAGGACTACAGCTCCCGACGGACCGCGCGGGGCCGGCAGCGGCCCCCGCTCCCAGCGGGCTGGCTGCGCTGCTGAGATGCTGGTGGCAGCGGCCGCCGAGCGGAACAAGGTGCCTATCCTGCGTGTCCTGCAGCAGTACATGGACCCGGACCAGCGCGGCCTCCGCGTACTCGAGGTGGCCTCGGGCGCCGGCTACCACGTGGCCCACTTCGCGCAGGCCTTCCCTCACGCCGAGTGGCAGCCGTCCGACGTGGACCAGCGTTGCCTGGACAGGTGCGGGGGTGGCGGGAAAGCGGGACGCGGCGTGAAAGTGGGCGGGCCGCGGGGTGGGGCCGAGCTGGGCCCGGTCCTGCCGCCCCACTCCCCACGCCACCGTGACCCCTCTAAGCCCCCAAGCAGGGCTGCAGGAGGCGTCAGAAACGGGTGCACCGGCCACCGCCACCCACGGCTGCCCTCCCACAGCATCTCGGCCACCATTCAGGCCCAGGGGCTGTCCAATGTGAAGGCCCCGCTGTACCTGGACGTGACCTGGGATTGGCAGCAGTGGGGCGGGATCCTGCCGCAGTCGCTGGACCTGCTGCTCTGCATCAACTTGATCCACATCAGTCCCCTGAACTGCACCAAGGTCTGTGGGCGCGGGCAAGCCACCCAGGGGCCACCCAGCTGCACCATGCGCACCCCTCCCCTTGCACTGGGAGGGAGGGGCGTGTTAGGTTTTCCCATATTACAGACTGGGTGCTGAGGTCTCGAGGTCAGGCTGAGTTTCAAGTCCATGGTCTAGGGCTCTTTGGGGGCCTGGGGAAAGCTCCTGACTGCCCTGCTGGCTCCTCCTCCCCAGGGGCTCTTCAAAGCAGCAGGACACCTGCTCAAACCCAAAGCGCTGCTCATCACCTACGGGGTGAGTGCTCCCACCAGAGATGGGCCTCCCCTGCAGGACCATCCTAGCCAGCCTCGGCTGTCCCCTCCTTTCTGTACTCCCTCCCTCCTGTGTCAATATTTCAGTTGTCCTCTCTGCCAGCTACTTGTCACCATTGAAACACACCCAGGCCCTCCCCTCTCAAACACCCCTCTGGTCACCTGCCAGTCTTCCTGCACCCACTTGGCTCACCAGCTGGTCCTCAGCTGTGCGTCCCCTCTCTTGGGGGCAGGGAGAGGTGTGTCCTTTTCATCCTCTAGGTGTCAGCCTGGAAATGTGTCCAGCGGCTGACTGGGGAATGGCTGACCCTGGGTTGGTGGCTAGCGGGCAGAGCTGTGTCCCCTTGTCTCCACAGCCCTATGCTGTCAACGGGAAGATCTCTCCCCAGAGTAACATGGATTTTGATCTGACCCTCAGATGCAGGTCAGAGCTGGGTGGGTGGAGGCCTGGCTGGGAGAGCCTGTGGCCTAGGTGACCCCTAGGCCATGACTCATCTCTTTTCCCCCTGCAGGAACCCCGAGTGGGGGCTGCGGGACACGGCCCTCCTGGAGGACCTGGGCCAGGCCAGTGGCCTGCTCCTGGAGAGGATGGTAGGTGGGGAGGGCTAGGGGTGTAGGCAATCTCCCTCCGGACCAGGAGCAGCTTCTTCAGCCCCAGTGTCTCCCCCAGGTGGACATGCCAGCCAACAACAAATGCCTGATTTTCCGAAAACAGTAACCCCTCTTTCTCCCGCATGCCTTTGTTCCTGCTAAGGCCCCTTCTGGGACAAAACCAGACTTCCAGCCCCTGCCTCCTGTGCTGGGCCATGAGGACTGGCCCTGTCCAGTCTGGGGGCTCTTGGCTGGTGTCCACAGGGCTGCTGAATGCCTGAGAATACAAGTGTTTCTTGTTGTCCCATTGCTGGTTTCCACCATGCCTCCTGCTGGGTGGTGCTGGGTGGGCAGGCTGTCTCTGTGGGTTCCATGCAGGGGGCAGGAGGTGTCTGGCCTATGGGGTCAGGGCTTGGGGGTGTCCTGGACCCTGCTGCTCCTCTCAGGCAGCAGAGGAGGGAGCGAGGGTCCAGGGACTGCTCAGGCAGCACTGAGCCAGCTGCCTCGCCTCCTGCCACGGGAGGTGGTGCCCACCTCGGGCTGGTCCTGGCTCGTGCTCCTGCAGGGACACAGGAAGCTCCCCAGGAGGGAACTGGTGCTCCCTGGTGACCTCGGACTGGAGCCAGACTGTGGCAGAACCGCAGCTGGAGAACAGGCTGGATAGGGGAAGGGTCAAGGCTCCACATGGGGGCTCCTGCCGGGGTCAGGACCCCCAGAAGGCCCAGCACCAGCAGGCCCCAAGGTCCAGGGACATGCTTGTATTCAGGGACGGGAGAACAGGATGGGCAGAGTGCAGGGCAGAGGTGGGGCTAGTCCTGGAAGCGATTGAGCAGCTCGCAGGCCTTCTTCTCGAGCAGCTCCAAGATCTTCTTGACACGCTTTTCACTGGCAGCGCGGACGTAGCTGCCAGCATCCAGCACAGCCACGCCATCTCGCACCTCACCCATGATGACCAGCGGGCTGTCCCCAGCCGTCACATTCGGGCATGGGCAGGCCCAGTCCATGCCACTCAGCGTCACCTCCAGGTACTTGGTGCCCAAGAACCTGAGGCCCATCTTGTCATCCTTGAGCACATCGTCCAGGGCCACACGGGCGATGCCACCACCGCCCACCTCAGGCTCCTCCAGCACCTCAGTGAGCCGCCCCACGATGGCAAAGTCACTGCGGCACAGGCTCAGTGCCAGCTTGCTCCGGAGGCGGCAGGCCCGGCAGGGCGGGGTACGCGGCACGGGGCAGGCCTCCTCACAGCTCTCGCGGCTCTCGAAGCTGTTGCTGTTGCCCTCGCAGCCACCATACACAAAGGGGTGGCACTGCTGCAGCAGCGGGCTGTAGGCCCAGCGTGGCTCCCAGCCCTGGCAGGGGCCCTGCACGGCTGGCAGCACGCAGGCATCCCCAGGGCCAAGGGTGCAGGCCTGCTGGCACGCCTCGTAGGTCTCAAAGCCCCGGGTGCCTCCATCACAGCTGCTGACTGGGAAGGTCATGCAGCCGCCCCGCTGTGGGTCAAAGTGCCAGAGTACGTGGCCAGAGGGAGGGCCGGCGCAGGTCTGTGCGTGGGGCAGGCATTCTGCCGGGGCAGGGGCACTGGGGGCCCTGTCCCTGGCTGGCTCCCGCAGGACCACAGAGAGTGGGAAGTCGGCCCGAAGCAGGCCAGCGGCGTTGCGTGCGGTGCAGGTGTAGAGGCCGGCATCCTCAGGCCGGGCGTTGTAGAGCACCAGCTGCCCGATGCTGGTGACCACCATGTTGCCGTACATCTGATCCGGCCGCATGATCAGGTTCTCCCGCTGGTCACTCTGCTTCTCCCAGGTTACGGCGGGCGGCGGGCGGCCGCTGACATCGCAGTGGAGGCTGGCTGTGCCCCCGACATACACCGCCTGTGGGGAGGGGCTGCTGTAGAGGGCAGGTGGCACCGGGGCGTCCCCAGGCATCGGGCTGGCAGTGGTCTCGGGTGGCCCTGGGCTGCTGGGTGGCCAGCTTAGGACGTGCTTGCAGGGCACAACGTGCAGGCGGAGGCCGCGCAGGCAAGCCTCAGCGTCCATGTAGCAGCGGTTGTAGTAGGTGAGGCCGTCAGAGGCGCAGGTGAAGCTGGGCTCCTTCTCACAGCGATCGCGGCAGCGGCACACAGGCTGCCCATCCCAGATGTCGCAGTCGGAGCCCTGCTGACGGCACACGAAGCCCTCACACGAGGCCACTGGTGCAGGTGTGGCTGGGCCACTGTGGGGAAAGCGGGCCGCCACGCAGCTCTGCAGTCCGCACACGTTGATGCAGCACTTCTCTGCGGCCGCACAGTCCTGGGGGGTGGGGGCAGCTCAGCCGGTGCCCTAACACCCCCCAGCCCTGCTCGGGGCCCCAGCATTGCTGTGTGTCAGCATGCTGCCTCCCCCCGAACCTCACTTTCCCCTCTGGAAAGCTGAGCCAGTTTGCAGAAGTTTGCTGTCCATCCCCTGTGATGAGCCTAGTGACCCTGTCACATGTCATTACCAAGTCTGCAGACCCCCACCCCCCAAAGCAGGTTTTATTCTTATTCCCGTCGTACAGACGAGGAAACTGAGGCTAGGGAGGCCATACTCAAGGCCGCTGCAGTTGGTGCAGGCGGGCTGCAGAGGGGGGGCATCCAGATTTGGTCCCCGCCTTTCTGCCTCCCTGGTCCTGAGAACAGCTGGTCCCAGGGTGGGGTGGGCAGATTTGGGGAGTGAAGGGGGCCTGTCAATCCTCAGACACATGAAGACAAAAACTGGGGGTGTCCCCTGGGACCCTCATACGGTCACAACCCCGTCAGAAGAGTGTGGGGAGCCACAGGAGGAAGCGGGCTCCCGGGCTTGGGGGCTGCAGTGCAGCTGCCGGAGTCCTCTCTGCCCACAAGACCTGGGGATGGGTGGGATCAAGCTTCCCCAGGCCGACCAAGCCCCCAAGCTGCCCTGGGCTGCCTATGATGTCTGTCCCCGCTTTGGGCCAGTGGGGGCGCCCGTGCTCACCTGGTCCCCGACGCACTCTCGCTCACAGGTGCTCTGGGCGTCCACCCACAGATTGGGGCTGAGCTCGTTGGGGCACATGCCTAGGTGGCTCCTGGGCCCCGGCGGCAGGCTGGCCCCTAAGGTCAGTACAAGCATGAGGAGCAGCAGCAGGAGCGGCCTTGGGGCCCGCATGGGGCTGCCAGGCCCAGGGGGGGTGTGTGGCCGCCAGCCCCTCCTCAGCCCCTGCCGAGCCTGCTCCCGGCAGGCATCCACTGTCCCAGGCCTGGGTTGCGCCCCTGCTCTCAGGCCTCTGGCCGATCCCCTGGGCTCCCCTCTGGTCCCCGAGGCCAGAGCCCACAGCAGATGCTCCGTCTCGACACCCTGGTGCCAGGGGTTGGGTGGGTTCTGGGTCTCCGCGCTCTGAGGCCGTGCATGTGGTGCCGGCCCCTCCCCCGCCTGGCCCCTCTGTGGTCAGCTCAGGGCGGGGAGAGGGGAGGGGCCAAGGCCCAGGAGCACGGAGACACTGGCCACGAGGGTCACTGAGGGGCGGAGAGTGGAGGGGAAGGGACACTGTAACTGGAGCCCCTCCTCCCTCTAGGCCCTGGGCTCAGGGATGGAAGAGCCCAGGGATCAAAGCCGCCAGACCCTTCCAGGAAGACCTCCCAGCCCAGGTTCAGGACCAGGAAGGAGGGGGCAGGGCTGGCCCACCCCTCTGGCTGCCCCACCCCACGCCAGCTGACCCTGGGCCAGAGTCTGCCCCGAAGCAGGTCCAGGCTGGCTGGTCACCTGGACTATGTCCAGGCAAGACATCCACGCAGAGGTGCAGGGGCTCTGTGTTCAGCCCAGCAATGGGTGGGGGTTCTGCTGCCCTCCCAGGAAAGTTTTCACAACCTTCTCCATGACCCTTCTCAGGGTCACAACTTGCCAGCAGGTCCTGGGGTCAAATCTAGACCTCTTGCTGGGGGTGAGCTCTCTTCTGGTGACCAGTGGCTGATGAGGGCGGGGGAGGCCCATGGATGGCAGAACTTTGCATTTCCAGGGAGCCCCCCTACTGAATCTTGGGTGCCTGGCTCCTGGTCCAGGCCCTTCCTCAACTGGGCAAGGTGGATGCCAATCCACAAGCAGGGGGCAGAGAGGAAGTGGTCTGTGTGCACTGGCTTTACACAGGCTTCGTGTCCTGGAAACGTGGCTGGTGTGACCGAGGAACTGAGTGTGTTCACTGGACTGATCTAAATTTCACTGGCCATGGCCCTGGATGGGGCAGTGCAGCCCCAAGAAGCCAAGGGCATCTAAATGCACCTGGGACACAGCGAGTGTCCTAGGAGCTGCTCAAGGAGCTGCAGGGACCCTGCAGCCTCTCACAGAGGCTCTCCTCCAGGTGAGCGTGAAGCCCTCCTCAATGTGGGGGCACAGGCAGCAAGATCAAAAGCCCCAGAATCCGCCCTTCCAGACCCTTCCCAGGGGTCTGGGGTCCCAGGAGAGGCTGCTTCCATCCAGGAGACTGGATGGAAAAGTTCCATGACCTCCGTCTGACCTTCTGACCTGGGAGGCAGAATAATAAGAACTTGGCCTGGTCAGAATGAGACCAAGAGACGCCCCAGGTGGGAGGACACCATTGGTCCCTTGCTTGATGAGGGGACTGCAGGCATGGGGGTCCACTGGGCCAGACTTTGGACAGGCTTATAGCCAGAGGCCATGGTCCCTGAGTGTGCAGGCCACGTTCAGAGCAATCGCCTCCCCCTGCCCAGCTGACCTTCAGGGCACTGGCCGTACTCCTGGGCCGAGCCCCACACACCCCGTCAGCAGGTGGCTTTCCTGCTGAGGGTGTTGACCCCAGGGCCTGGGTCCTCGAGGCTGTGGTGAGCTGTGGCGGATGGTCCACCCTCGGTCATCTGATGAGTCCATGGCTCCATACCCACCACCCTCTCAGGCAGCAGAGTGAACTCGGCAGTTAGGCCCTGCCCGGATGGTCAGCGAGGGCCTAGGTGTGCCCGGTTCCGGCCCTCAGGGGCGGTGGGGAGCAGGTGGTCCTGCCAGCCTTCTGTTGTGCTACATCACAGGGAGGGACAGACTGAGGAGGGCCACCCATCTGGCCCACTGAGAAACGCATCCTGGCCTGTAACTGGAGTAGCCACTGCAGCCTCACTCAGTCCTCAGCCAGGACGTCAGCACTGGTCAGCGAGGCCAGCTGTTGAGGGACGGACTGGCCAAACAAAGCAGTACTGAACCTATTGTGGCAGAGCACCGACCCACCCTCCTCTTGGCCAGTTAAAACCAGAGACTTGAATTCACATAAAATGTAGTCTGTAGGTCACGGCTAAATTACATTTACTGTACAAAGAAACCAAATCTGTCCAAAATGAGCCCAGGAATAGTGCGAGTGTCAGACAGCAGCGAAGGGTAGTGTTGATATGGTGAACGGGGGACCATCCGCGTCCTCAAAACAAAGTCTGTGTGATTTGGTTCAAAGTCCAAAGAAAAGGGCCTTGTTGGCAGGACGGGATGGGTGGGGCCTCCTCTGCCCAATCCTGCCAGTGGCCAGGCCTCAGCCAGGGTCCCTGGTGCCCCTGCTCCCATGAGCTGGCCGCAGCCCCCTCCCCACCTTGCCTCCCAGAACAGCAGGCATGGGGCTGCCCCAGGGGACACCCACCACAGAACAGTCCCAGAGCGAGGGGGGTCACAGGCCCAGGGAGGGGCCCCAGGGGCAGGAGGTAGAGTTGAGCACCAGTGTGACCAGTGGCTGCATCACCAGGCAAGTGGGCAGAAGGAGGCCAGGCCCCAGCTCGAGGCTGACCAGTGGGTCCTCCAGGGGGGCATCCACCACCGTGGCCGCTCCAGGAGGCGTCAGTGAGAAACTGGTCAGGATGGTTTTGGTGATGTATGATCTCACGGAGGGGCAACACCGGGCAAGGAACAGCTACGGGGTCACACCCAAAGTCAGGGAACAGAAGCTGGCGAGAGCGGGGTCCACATGCCCCAGGAGGCAAGTGGGTGGCAGACTCAGTCCGGACCTGCAGAGTGCCTGGTGGCCCTGTGATCATTTAACGTCTACAAACAGCTCTGCATCTTCAAATCGGAGACACTGAGTCAGTTTCATGTAGCAACAGATGTAAACATAAGCAAACAGACAGGATCACGGAGGGAAGGTTGTTGGCCTCCACGTGTGGAGGGAGGGAGCCAGGGACTGACGTGGGGCGCACCCACTTCCCCCTCTCTGAGAAATGTCATTGCTCCACTTGGGAACCTGTGAGTTGCCCCTGGCTCGCAGCCCGTGGCTCCGAGACATGCAGAGATGTCGTCCAGCAAGGCCGGTGGGAGCCAGGAAGTTGCAGCCACACCGTGGAGACTGCCGAGGCCCACATCCTCACTGCTGCCCAGCCTGTGGTGGGCACACTAACCACCGTACTCAGAAAGGCTGGCACTGGTAGCTGGGGGTCCGAGATTGCCAGCCAGAGGTTCCAAGTGTCCCCAATGGCCCCTGCACAGCCCACACCCCCATGTGAAGTGTACATGAATTCAAAGATTCAAGCCTTGATGGCAGATTCCTTCCCATCTTTGCCTCAAATCCTCTCCCTCTCCAAATGTCCCCAAGCTTGTCCCCACAGCTGATGTGGGCTCACCACGTGGCTGCATTGAGGCTTCCCTGCCAGCCCTTTAAAAATGTACAAAAGGGGTGAACGTCTTCTATATAAATAAGGAAGGTGGACTGGGCCTCCTGGGGCCCCAGGGACAGGCCCTCAAGGCTGGCCCGGGCAGAGCCACCTCCTGGGTGCTTCTAGCTGTACTGCGGGGTCCCAGGCTTGTCCAAGATGCCTGCAGCACCAGGAGTGCGGCCCTCCACTGTCCTGGGCAGCACGTCTGCAGAGACCACCAGCCCATTGGGTGCACCCCTACACTTCCCAGGAGGGACTGTGTGGCCAAAGTCTTCCCTGCACACAGCACCAGGCCTAGCGCCCAGCTAGGAGCGTTCTCCAAGTGTGAGCCCCCCAGAGTGCATCTGACGGGGGTGCCCGGCCTGCCTGCTAGGAGATCTTGCAGTTGCTCCTCGAGCAGTTCTGGGGCGGGCTCTGGGGGGGGCGGATGGACTTGGACCTCTTGAGACTGTTGCCCTTGCTGCCACTGCCCCCTGCCCCGCTGGCCAGCGAGTAGGAGCGCCCGTGCATCATGACGGCATTCATGCCGTTGGCCATCGAGAAGGACTTGAGGTGGCTCTTGATGGTGACAGGCAGCGGGAGCTTGTCGATGAGGTGCACAGGGGTGCAGGAGACGATGGCCCGGCAGCAGAGGTCCTGCAGGCTGAACACTGCGGGAGGGGTCAGATGACAAGGGTCAGACCATGGGGGCGAGGGGAGGGAAGGGAGGAGGGTCAGACAGCGGAAGGGCAGGGACGGTGAGGCATAGGGAGATCTCAGAGCCTAGGCCCCAAGGTGGGAGACACTGAGAAGTGAGTGGTCATCTCAATGGCACAAGTGACACCCGGTGGGGAGCGGGGAGGTCTGCAAAGCTCCCAGGGCTCCCGGGACCTGGACACTGGGCACCGCCAGAAGCAGCCACTGGGGGGCGCCCTGCTCCTGCCTTCTCCCTAGAGCCGCCCACAGAAGTGCCCTGTGGGACCCCACTTCTGAGGGCTCAGCCAGCTCTGCCCCAGCACCTGAAGCTTCCAGCCACCCTGGCCTCCTCTGGCAGCTCTGGCGGGACCCAGCCCCGAGGGACTGGGGCGGGGGGGGACACAGCCAGGTTCTTCATGGCTCAGCTCCAGGAAGGGGAGGCTTGGAAGCCATGCCCCTGCTTGCTCTGGGACACGTCAGAGTCCACAGCGCTGGCCCCCAACACAAGGGCATCATTGGGGGGTAATGCACGGTCCCCTCTTTTTATTTTATTTATTTATTTATTTTTCCCCCAAAGCCCCAGTAGATAGTTGTATGTCATAGTTGCACATCTTTCCAGTTGCCGTATGTGGGATGTGGCCGCAACATGGCCGGAGAAGCGGTGTGTCGGTGCGCGCCCGGGATCTGAACCCGGGCCGCCAGCAGCGGAGCGCATGCACTTAACTGCTAAGCCACGGGGCCGGCCCACACGGTCCCCTCTTATAACACCAGGACCCCCAAACAAAGCAGATGCAGAGCACAAGCCAGTTCAACCACAACGCATCGCGGAAGCAGTAGAGACCTTGCTGGCCTGATAACTCGGGGAGACTGGACCCTGGGAGGGACTGTGGCTCTCTAGGGGGCACCTCGAGGCTCTTCAGAGGCTGCTTTTGCTTCCCCACTCACTATCCTCTGCAGCACCTCACGGCCTCAGGGGCCTGCCTGGGCCTCGTGCCCTTGTCAGCCCTGCCTGGCCTGAGCCTCACCTCGGTTAGGCCTCCAGATCTTTTCCATGCCGTGCCGCATGAGCACGATGCGGGACAGCTCAGTGAAGGACTCGATGACGTTGAAGTTGCATAGTGGGCTGACCTCGAAGAAGGTCATGCAGTTCTTCTCCGCGTAGGCACGCGCCTGCTCTGTCGGGACTTGCCGCTTGAAGGCCAGGTGCAGCCGGTTCCCAACCAGGATCCGGGGGACCCCGGGCGCATGCTTGAGGGGCATAGGACTCAGCAAAGGCATGAACACCAGACGCCACCCCGCTCTTGGTGCTGTCCCCCCATCTCCCCGAGTGGGCGGGGCCCTCACTGTTGATTCTGTGATGGGGTGGAGCCAGACCAGAAGGCAGAGCACAGACCCTTGAGGCATGGCCCCTTGGGACAAGAGGCCCGGGACCTCGAATGCCACAGCAGTCAGTGCACAAGAGGACACACAGAGCTGGGGCAATGGGAGGGGCAGCAAATGGGGGCCGAAGAGGCTCCCTGAGGGGGATGGGAGCACATGCGCCCTGGGAAGGGGGTGACCTTGGAAGGGGGTGTCCACAGGCGCACACCTACCTCGTCAATCTCCTTGATCCACCGGTCGATGCCGTCGAAGGACCAGCGGTTGGTGATGTCGTACACCAGGAGGATCCCCTGCAAGGGAGACGCGTACTGTGCGAGGCTGAGGGGACACTCGGATGGAAAAGGTCTTATTCCCAGCACGGAGCCCCGGTGCAGCCTCACACTGCTCCCTCCCAGCACAGGGAGGGCCAGGGACACTCGGCACCAGCCAGAGAGCTTTCAGGCGGATTGTACGGGTTCCTTAACACATGGCACTGTGAAAATGCACTGTGAGGCTCCCTGTCCCTCTGGCAGGAGCACTGCATGCAGGACTTGGCTAACTCTGCCCCCGTTTTCTCCCTGTGGCCAGGCCTGCGAGGCTCTGGATGCCCTCCATATGGGGTGGTGCCAATGCCATCTGACAGTTGGGGATCTCATGCACTCAATGCTGTCCCCTCCCTCCACTTGGAGACATCGCTGGGACAGAACTGGCATTTTTTTCAACTTCTTTCCTCCAAGCACACTGTAAGCATTACGTTTAAAAGTCACTTGAGCTAAGACAGGCGCATGCAGGTCTACGGTGCGGGGTAGGCCCTGAGGACAATCCTGGCAGGCAGATGTGGGGTGGCATCCCCAAAACTCTATCCAGCAGTGCACTCTGCCCAGGGGCACCCGGGGGAGTTGAGTAGAGGGGTTTCTGGGTTTTCCAACCCAAGCTTGCAGAGTAGGATGTCAGTTGCTCCAGCAGCTGCGTGTGCAGCCCCACAAGCTGGGCAGAGGATTTGCTATGAGGACTTTCCCGTCACATCCCTTAGAGACCAATTACTTGGAGCTCAGCTCTGGGCTGTCTCCATCTGCTCGGCTCTCCTTGTCGTCCTTGCCCTAAATATCTCAGCGGTGACCTGTCATGAGCCTCAGGAAGGCAACTCCACTGATGGAGCACAGCCCCCAGGCCCACTGCTCATCTCTGGCCCTACACTCCACTCTGAAGCAGGCTCAGGAGCCAGAACTCATCCAAGAGCAGGACTCCCACCCTCCCCATCCCACCAAGTCTTTATTCAGCCCGAATTCTGGAAGACTTCAGTGTAGCCCTTGGGTCCTGTTAAGACAAAGGTGAAAATTACTTTAACCCTTGCCCGGTGGCTCCTGCTCTCTGGATGGAAAGCCTCTTACAGACTAGGGCAGAGCTGCCTGCCGCCCCAGGAGGGCCACTCACTCGGGAGGCACAGCCAGGTCTGAAGGGAACTCCTCCAAGGCGGCCAATGGAGACCCACTTGAACTTGAGGAGCAGAAACCAGCTTGGTGGGCAACAGAGTCAGACTGAAAAGAAATGACTGTGTGGCTAGGAGTTCATCCTGTTGCCTGGGCACAGGGAACAAAGCCCTGTCACTTGGTACCGGGGGGGGGGCAGTGCCAGCGGCCCTCCAACTTGGAAATCCCCCTTCTATGACATAACGGAGGATATGTCCAAAGACCAGCACTCATGGATGTTCATCACAGCATTGTTCATAAAACAAAAAACTGGAAACAAACTAAACATGCAATCCCCAGAACTGCTGAGCACTTCAAGGGGCAGACATAGCACGCAGACGATGGATGAACGGACGCACACTGCAGGGCATACATGCTGATGACTGGCAGATATACAGTCAATTGTGAGGGGAGAAACACTGATCCCAAACCTTACGTGCAGTGCAAATTAAAAAAAAAAACAAAACAAATATAAACATACAACACACCACACAGAAGAGGTTTCCATGGACTTAGGTAACCACATGTCCAAAGGCTGGGTGGGGGACTCAGCTTCCTGCCTATGCTTCCCTGTGTAACGCTGAAAAGCTCCAACAGGGAAGCAGAGCCTATCTCTTGAGCTCAGGCTTCAACTACACCCCGAGGCAGTCTGGGAGCCTGTGGTTGTCCCTCCCGGCCATCGCCACCCTTTGCCAGGCACTGCCTTTCCAGGGCTGCCCAAGTCTGATGGGTCGGGGTCATGACAGAGGAGACCCACCCACCCAGCAGTCACAGGGAGGAAAGGTGGTCCTAGTCTGTGTACCATCAGGGGCTGTGCAGAGCCACCCTGCTGCAAAATCAGGTCAGCGCTTACTCTGGAAACTGCCTTCACCTCTTCACTGCCATACCCCAGGCAGGATAGAAACGGAACAGGGCGAAGCAACACCATCTAGACGAGAGGAGCTGAGGCGAGCTTCGCGGCTTGGAGCCCGGCTACCCCTACCCAGGCCGGAGATCTGCAACTGGCTCCTCCAGACCACCAACGACAAGAACATCCAGAATTAACAAAGCAAAAGCAACAAGAAATACACAACCAACGGGGCTGGATGTCTTGGAGAGAACATGGACGTGGTAACACCGTGCTGGCTTCCTCCAAGTGTCTCATCTGGCCAGAGCCCAGGCCTGCTAGCTGAACAGCAAGGACAGCCTGCGGTCTGTTCTTGCTCACCCTCAGAGCAAGCGGAACAGGTGAGCCTGTTGGGTTTCACCTCTCAGCGCCTTTCTCAAACTTTCCCAATCGCCTTTATTCTCACAACACAGGTAACTCCCCCCATATCTCTTCCTTTTCTTCTTTATTACAAAAGTAGTATGTGTTTGGGGCTGGCCCAGTGGCGCAAGCGGTTAAGTGCGCGCACTCCGCTGCAGCGGCCGGGCGTTTGCCGGTTCGGATCCCGGGCAGGCACCGACGCACTGCTTGGCAAGCCATGCTGTGGCGGCGTCCCATATAAAGCAGAGGAAGATGGGCACGGATGTTAGCCCAGGGCCAGTCTTCCTCAGCAAAGAAAAGAGGAGGATTGGCAGATGTTAGCACAGGGCTGATCTCCTCACAAAATAAAAAAAATAAACAAACAGTAGTATGTGTTTATTGTAGAAAAATTAAGAACTATTCAACAGCAAAAGGAAGACGAGACAACTCTTCAGTCACCCTACTGTCCAGAGACAGCAGACACTACCATTTGGAACACAGCCCTCCCATCATCCTCGTGTGTATAAAATCACAGATGCAGTCCCTTCTTTCAAGAGGACCTGTGGACACACTCCTGTGCACCTGAGCTCTTTCTGCATGTCATACGAAGGACACCAGGTTCTGCAGGCAGTTCCTAGTACCTAACCTCCTCCCTGTGCTGATGTGGGGTGCTGACAGACACCCCAATGTTGCAGTCCACACCCTGTGGTCTGTCAGTCCCTCTGATTATTTAGGACCAGCTGCTCCAGGTAAATTGCTAGGTCAGGCACCACCTCTGTGGCCCCCAACACCGGGCACACATTGGGGAACAGAGCCACAGGCAGGCGGCACCACCAAGCTAGCGGCTCAAGGCACGTACCTCTGCAGAAGCCCCCCGGATAGGAGCTGCCAAGGCCAGCCTGGGGTCCCACACCCTCCCTCAGCAGAAAGCGGACACCGGCCACATTCAGTGTCCCCCCGCCCCTCACCACGTCTGAGAGGCTCCCACTCAGAAAAGGCTTGGGCCAGGTGTTCCCATCACCACCTGTCGCAGATTTCTCTCACCGCCAGTCTCCCCTGGTCTCCAAGGGCAAAGAGATCAGCAAGAGTGGAGGGGTGCCTGGCACCTGCTGCCATCATCAATCCCTGCTCTCGAAGCAACAAGCATGCCCCTGGAGGCTCCCCTGGAGCCCGAGCCCGAGTGAGGGGGGCGACAGGCAGCCCCTACTCCTGCTGAGTGCAGACTTCCTGGAGCCTATGCCCCACACAGCCCAAGGGCCTCCTCCCTGCACCAGTGTGTGCGGCTCCCAGTGGAGGACCCTGCAGGGGCACTGGGCAGGGCTGGCCTCGAGGGTTTCCTCGGCAATTCCAGAAGCCTGGGGGGTCATGGCCCATCCTGCGTCACAGACAGGACTGGTCTTGCGTCCAGACCCCTCACTTGACGAAGCAGTGAGAGTCTATAGCTGGTCTGTTCTCCCACCTACTTCTCCTCTCTCCTTCCGGCCTTGAATCATACACAGATCCAGCTAGCACGCAAGCATGCCGGGGGGAGCCCAGAGGACACAGAGAGGGACAGGCGAGTTCCCGTGCCCCTGCACACCCTCCCCGCATGCCCCCACACCTCTCCACACCCTCCCCGCGTGTCCCTACACCTCCGCACACCTTCCCCGCAAGCCTCCATGCCCCTGCACGCCCCCCCAGGGTGCCCCTTCGCCTCTGCACACCCTCCCAGCATGCTTCCACACCCCTGCGCCCTCCAGCATGCCTCTACACTCCTGCACACTGCCCAAGGTGCCCCCACACCCTTGCACGGCCTCCCAGCATGCCCCTGCATGCCCCCAGATTGCCCCCGCGTCCATGCGCACACCCCCAACTCGGGTGCTTTTCCATGGCAGCCATGGGAAAGCCCTTTCTCCTGCTCTCTGCTGTCTCCAAGGACCTGTGGCAGGCTCTCCTGCAGCAGCCCCGCGCTCTATCCCTGCAGTCCTATCAGTAACCCAGCTGTGCCCACCTGGGGAGCCCCCCACCCTGAGACGGACCTGGTTGCCCCGGCAGCCTCCTCACTCAGCACGTGGAGGTCCTGGATGACGGGGAAATCACCTTTGGTTCCTAGTGAACCAAGTGACTGAGGGGTGTCCCCACAGTACGGGTTCCCAGCACACCTCCCGAGGTACTTCTGGGCAGTGAGAGCCACAAAAGCCCACAGGGACACAGAGCAGGACCGTGGAGCCCTGGCCCCCTCTGATGGCCGAGGCCCCTGACATTCAAATTTCAAAACTTCCTTAGCAGAGCCGGCCCAGTGGCATAGTGGTTAAGTGCGTGTGCTCCGCTTCAGCGGCCCGGGGTTCGCAGGTTCGGATCACAGGCGCACATTGACGCACTGCTTGTCAAGCCATGCTGTGGTGGCGTCCCATATAAAGTGGAGGAAGATGGGCACAGACGTTAGCCCAGGGCCAGTCTTCCTCAGCAAAAAGAGGAAGATTGGCATAGGATGTTAGCTCAAGGCTAATCCTTCTCACAAAAAGAAAAAAAGAAAACACAAAAAAACTTCCTTAGAAAGGAGAGGAGGAGAGAGTTGTCCCTCTGGAGAACAGCACCGGCACTGTCACTGGTCTTACCTGGGCGCCCCTGGAGTAGGACCTGAAGATGGTGCAGAACCTGCCCTGGCCCGACGTGTCCCTGAAACACAGGGGGATCAGGGGAATACGGCCCATGGGACCTCGGTGGGCACAGCGCGATCCCTGCGAGTCGCCCGGCCCCCGACTCCACAGCTCACCCTGGCCGACTTCTGTGGACCTGGGCATCCCACGAGACTGCCCTGTCAGGCTGGGAAAACCCAAACCTGTGGGAATCTGCATCTCACCTCTGAGGTTCCAGAAAACGCTCCTTAATGTGTAGCCCAGTAAAGGGCAAGGAGAGAGGAGGTGTGGCCACTGTAGAAATAAGTCTTTACGGGCAAAAGAGAGCTGGGTTCTATCAGAACCAATAGCCCTGGACCTTTTAGTTTCTGCACAACGGAGCAAATCCATTCCACGTTTATACAGGCCCTGTTTAAAGAGCTATTCCAACTGAAATGTAAACAGGGTGCCTTCCTGTTTCTCAAAGGATTCTTGACTTACTTCATTTAGCTTCCGCGGCCCCACGCAATAACTCTGAAGTGTTCTACCTCCCACCCCCAGGCACCTCGGCTCCAGACAGCCCTTGACTCACCAGAGCTCCAGCTTGACCCGCCGGCCGTCCAGCAGGATGGTAGTCGTCTTGTAGTCGATCCCTGCAAGGAAGCAGAGGGCAGCTGAAGGTGACGCCTGGGGACGAGCCCGCCAGGACCCACCTCACCGGGGCTCAGTCTCAGTCTCAGCAGCCAAGTGGAGTCGGGCAGAGACCGCCCTCGTGTCATCCCAGAGGGCATGGGTGGGCACTGATGGCACTGGCCAAAGGGCAGGCAGCAAGGGAGTGGAGTCCAGCCCGCCCGTGGGAGGACAGCTCATCTCTGCACTGACCTACTTCATGCAGATCTTAAAGCTGAACTCTCAAAGGCTAATGGTATTTCCGAGTTCTTGGGTTCACCGTAGCCCCCAGGCACTGACAACTGGAGCGTGCTCGGAGCATTATGAAGGGTAAAATAATTTCTAAAACGCCATTTCTCTGGAGAGCTCTCTGGAGAACCTATGCTTGCCAAATCTTTCGTTTTTATTTTTTCGTACTTTTATGGGGGGAAAAGTCAGTCCAAGAGAAGTTGGTAGGAGCAGGGACAGTGCTGGGCAGTTACCCTACATGTAAGATCTTCAATTGGTTTACGGACCATCTGGAAACTTCCTAAAAGCTCAGTCTTTCCTCCTCCTCTCTTAAGCCTTAAAAATGCCATCAGCTTCTTGGCTTTTTATAACACTTGCTCCGAGAGGGCTTGGAAATGCTCACTGTAAATGTAGGTGTCTCTCTCACACAGTGCGTGTGTGTGCAAGCTGACCTCAGAACGTCTGCACAGCGCACACTCCCTCAGGCCGCAGCGCCTCTCCTGCTGTCCTTCTGCCTGGCCATCTCCTGACCACATCTCGAAACCTGGCTCCCATGCATCAAAGGACACCCAACAGAATGAAAATGCAACCCACAAAATGGGAGAAAGTATCTTCTAATAAGCAATTGATATCCAGAATGTATAAAGAAATCCTACAACTCAACAACAAAAAAACAATTAAAAAATGGGCAAGAGATTTGAACAGGTATTTCTCCAAAGAAGATATACAAACGACCATAAGCACATGAAAAAGTGTTCAACATCAATAATCATCAGGGAAATGCAAATCAAATCACAATGAGATACCACCTCACACCCATTAGATGGTTATTATCAAAAATCAGAAAATATCAAGTGTTGGCGAGTATGTGGAGAAATCGGAACGCTTGTGCACTGTTGGTGGGAATGTAAAACGGTTCTGCCACTGTGGAAGACAGTCTGGCAGTTCCTCAAAGAATTAAACACAGAATTACCATATGCTCCAGAAATTCCACTTTCTGGTTTATACCTAAAAAAAGTGAAAGCAGGGAATCGAACAAGTACATATTTGCACATCCAGGTTCACAGCAGCATTGTTCACAATAGTTAAAAGGTGGAAACCCAAGTGTCCACTGATGGATGGACAAATAAGCAAAATATGGTCTACACATACAATGGACTATTATTCAGCCTTAAAAAGGAAGGAAATCCTGACACCTGCTACAACGTGGATGAACCTTGAGGACATGAGGCTCAGTGAAATAAGCCAGACACAAAAGCACAAACAGTGTATGATTCCACTCATAGGAGGTCCCCAGAGGAGTCAGATTCAGAGACACAGAGAGTGGGAGGGTAGGGGCACCGGGGGCTGGGAGAGGGGCCTGGGGAGTGAGTGTTTAATGCGGACAGAGTTTCAGTTTTACAAGATGAGGAGCTCTGGAGATGGATGGTGGGGATGGTTGCACAACACTGAATGTGGTTAATGCCACTGAGCTGTTCATCTAAAAATAGTTAAAACAGTAAATTTTATGTTATGTGTATTTTATCACAATTTTTTTAAAGAAGTCACAGAAGGGCCAGCCCCGTGGCTTAGCGGTTAAGAGCGCGTGCTCCGCTGCTGGTGGCCTGGGTTCGGATCCCAGGCGCGCGCGCCGATGCACCGCTTCTCCAGCCATGCTGAGGCCGCGTCCCACATGCAGCAACTAGAAGGATGTGCAGCTATGACATACAACTATCCACTGGGGCTTTGGGGGGAAAAAAAAAAAAAAAAAAAGTTAAAAAAAAAAAAAAAAGAAGTCACAGAAGATTCTTTTGTACATATTCTCAAGCCCAAGAAATACTCTTCAGGAACAAACACAATCAGGCCTGTCTCCACCGTCCTTCCTCTGCATTTGCCCTTCCCCCAGCTCTCGTCCGCTGATAACCTGCTTCTTCGGGTAGAAGCTCCTGGAATTCTCTGTCAAACAGGAAGCACAGATCTGGCGCAGGACTCGCCTCCTTCCAGTCCTGGCTCTACGCTCCAGTGAGACGAACCCCGTGAGGATACTGCTGGAAACAGTGATTTCCAGGAAGGTTGTGGATGCGGACGCCCATCCTCTAGGCGACGTCACCTCCAAGTAGCGGATTGCCCAGCAGGCTTGGGTCACAGGTCTGGACACTGACTGCTTCAAGGTCGCCCCCAAGGCCGGCCCCCACAAAAAGAGCAGCCCTGCCACTGAGCCACCCTGAGGTGGCAATGTGGCCCAAGGGCCCAGCTGAGAGCTGCGGGGCGACCAGGAAGGGCCCAGGAGGAGATGGGGCACAGAGAGCCGCGCTGCTCAGCAGCGCCCTGCCAGGCTTTCTCCCATAACCAGCATCAGGAGTGCTGAGCGTAGCTGGGCACCTCACTGACCCATCTGCCCGAGTTCCACCCCACTCCTGATGACAGGACTTGAACTTCAGTCAGCTTCAGAAAGGACAACCAGTCCCCAGTCTCCAGCAGCTCCGTGGGACAGGCACTCAGAGCTGAGGGTCCACTCTCCTCCTGACCCCTCCTGCTGCACAACCCACAGAGCTGGGTCAGGGGGCTCCCCAGACAATAGGGTTGTCAGGGAATGCTGCAGAGGAGAACTGGAGATGGATGACTGAACAGCATCACCACTGAAATGATCCAGACTCACAGACACGGGCTGTGCTCTCGGAGCGCAACCTGCTGAGTCTTGCCCAGGAGCCTTCTTGGCTGCGGCCTCTGGGGACAGGTAGCTGCCCACAGCCTGGCACCAGCATGGGCAGCCCTAGGAAGGCTGAGTGGCCCGTGTGAGGGGACTAAGGAAAGTGGGTGGCAGATCCCTACCGCAGACAGCGGGGTCCAGCTGAGGACGGCCTAGGAGACGGCCGGGCAGGAAACACCAAGGGGTCCAGATGGGGGCGGCAAGCCCTAGGTTGACACCGTCACTTGGATATCAAGAAATCTCAAATATATTCTTTGTGCTCACTCTGCCTCTCACCTCTACCTCCCAAATCTAGATAAAAACTTACGGTGTGCTCTATAAATTCGTAAAAAAGATAGACATATCAAGTCCAAAGAGAGCGGCTACCTGTAGAGAGCAGAATCTCCTGGCTGCGCACAAGGATGGGTGTCAGCCAAACTTCACTACTGACTCAGCTCTGACCGTTCTCAGCTCTTAGGATTTGCTGCTGGAGAATTTCAATCACCCCTGGGCCTCCCCCACTTCACTCCAACAGTGTTTAAATATTGAGCAGTTCCTTGAAACGAATGATGACCAGAGGTTTCATTTAAATATTTAACACCTTGTACAGCACAGGCATGACCCTTCAGAACAGAAATCTGCTACCGGGAGCCAGGACAGCTGCCTGTGCGCACACAGGGACAACCAGGCCTCTCAAGGGCTGGGCCGCCTCATCCAGCACACATGCTCAACGCACAAGGTGGCAGAAGCAGCTCACACACAGGCAGGGGTCACACGATGTGACTGGGTCTCAGGCCCCAGGACTGCGGACACTCCCTAGATGGACACAGAACTCAGGGAGGCCACCAGGAGCCAGTGGCAGGTGACCAGAGGCTCCCAGAGGAGATGGGGGCCACTCTCCTTTCTGTCTCTGAAAGTTTTTAGGGCATTTTATTTGCCCAGTGTTCTGGGGGGTCTTTTATACTCTCTGTGCTGGGATCCTAGGGGTTCTTTCGGTCCCCAGTTCACCCCTCCACCCGCATGGCTCCGCTGTCCCACACCCTGGCCTCCCATTAGCCAGGGAGTGACCTCTGGGCTAATGGCCAGTTTTCTCAGCTTTTTCCCCATCTCTGTCTTTGTGTTCCATTTTCTGGGAGATGTCCTCAACTCTATCTTCCAGCCCTTCTCTGATCTTTTAAAAAAATTCTGCTATTTTCAATTTAATTTCTAAAAGCGCTTTCTGGTCCTCTGAATGTTCTTTTCTAATAGCATCCTGTCCTTAGTTCTCGGATGTGGTATCTCTTTATAGCTCAGACATTAATTATAAGATGAAGGTTCTCAGATGTCTTTCCTCGCATTGCGGCAGCCCTTGGCTGTCCATTCACCCCTCAGAGACCCTAGGAAGTTGCGGGAAGTTATGGGTGACTCTCCGTGAACTAGGGCTCACAATGGAGCCGCTGGGGTGTACGGTGGTCACTTCTCTTGAACTGATGACTGTTCCAGCAAAGACCTGTCTGCTGCCTCAGGGCTCCTATCTCGGCACTAGAGGCAGGGGCAGCTAGGGTGTCCCCATGTGGAATGGACCTGTGCTCGGCCCTCCACCATGCCCAATTCTCTCAGACAGTAGACCTCCTGTGTCCCTGCTGGGAGTCACCCAGCCATTCAGCCCCCAACCTGATATCAGCCAGTCCTCTCTGCACTGAGTTCAGAGGGGCCCGGGGTCGCAGAGTGCGGGGTCCAGAGCCACGGGGTCCCTGCCAGCCCCTCACAGCCCAGGCTTCAGCTCCTTGTACTCAGCGTGACAGTGGCACCACCTCCCACTGTCGACCCTGCTCACCTGACTACTCACACTAGTTTTTAGGAATGTCTTTTCTATTGTTTCAGTGGGGTTTCTGAAGGGAGTGCCAAGTCACCTGACACAAATTACTTTGTAAATTTCTACTATACACCAGGCATTGTTTCAGGAGCTAAAGGGGCTCATGTTGCTGCCCAGCTGTCCCGTACCTGCACCCAGACCAGGAGCTACAGCGGGTCACCACAAGGAGATGTTTGGAATCTGTGGGGACATTTTTTGTTGTCACAAGCTCAGGAAGCATAGGCCAGGGACTC